ATTTTACTTTATGAAAGCTATAATTATAACAATCAACACTATCAATAGTGCTATTATTATTACAGCAACCCCTGAGCCTCCAACAGTAACAATGAATGAAGTATCTGTAATCATAATTACCGTTATCATAATCTTCATACCAAATAAAAGACTTACTTTCAGGCTGCATAGTAGCAGCCACAGTTTTAAAAACAAGTAAGATTTATAAATTATGGGGACTATACTCATACCTGATGTTTGTATTACTGATGATGATAAAGACTTTACTGTAGATGATGGTGATATTACTGTAGATAAAAACTGTTTTGTGGTTGACGATGATGCTATTGTAAATAACAATATTTGTGCAGATGATGGTGACATTAGTATAGATGATGATTCTGTTAGTAGTTCTAGAGTCTCATTAGTAGTAACTGTCCACTCTCCATATCCATTATCAGAGTATGGACGTATACCAAAAATGTAACAGGTATTACTATTCAGACCAGTGATGGTAGTAAATGTATCATTACTAGATACATTAAATAGATTCAATACTTGAGGATTAATGTCATCATCATATACCATTGAACAGTTACCAGACTCTAAGGCATGATATCCTATCTCATATGTGATAATGGGATAGTCTGATGGAATATAACTAGGTACACTCCATGAGATAATAGCCCATGTAGTGTCCATGATACTGGATGCTGACCCAACTGGGCCAGGTACTAAATAAAGAAACAGAATCTCACACAATAACTTAAAGCATGCATACCCATTCCAATCTCTACAATTGTAGGATCACTAAAGGGACCTCTTCCAGCAGAGTTGACAGCAGCTACACTGATGTTATACTCAGTACCAAATACTAGATCATTCAATATAATATATCTCTCAGTACTAGTGAGGTTGTATGTAACGCCACTGTTACTGATCATCACTGTATAGCCTGTGATTAGACCATTACGTTCAGAACAATTGACCTCATTCCAAGTGAGATTATTAATTGGCTGTAATAAAGACAAAGAAGTAGGTACACCAGTAGGAGCTATAAATAAAATATTGTATAGATATTACTGAACATCATGATTATACAAACCTTTTAAAAATATTGCGTGTTTTTTAACTGAAGTATAGTTAGATGCACCTAGTACATTCCAAGCTCTCACTGTGATGGTATAGTTCATACCAATGTACAGACCTATTAATGTATAACTGTAAGTTGTAGTATACTCATGAGCAACAACAGATACTGTCTCATTTACTGATGATAACTGGGGACAAGATGGAGTATAGGAGATGGTGTAGTATGCTACATAATTGTCACTACTGGGAATAGTCCAGTTCACTGTAATACCAGTGGTTGAGACATTAGATACTGAGAGACTAGTTACTGGACTAGGAACTAGAACAGATATCGATTACACTCTTTAAATGATAATAGCTCACCATCAAATTTTAACACTGTTACTGTACTATTAACCGAAGGAAGGTCTGTGTATGAGTACACACTAATGGTATAGGTACTCATTGATGATAGATTTGTTAGTACAATTTCATCTTCACTGGTGGATAATACATTCCTGGTTACACCTCCAGTAGTATACTCAATCACATATCCATTAGCCTCTGATGAATTGGTCCAGTTCACTTTGATACTAGTTGCATTTAATATAAATCCTTTCACATAATTCGGAGGACCACTAGGAGCTAGAAATAAACAAAATTATCTTAACATTGATTAAACTATAATCATACCATGTAATATCATAGATTGACTGTAGTTGACTCCTCCAATCATTGCTATGCAGGTAGCATTAACTGACACTCCCAGTGGATCAGGATATACCAGTATTGTGTTGTTGTATGTCAGGAGATCAATTGATGTATACATTGAGTTACTCTTCATCACTCCATTCACTAACCAGTAAACATCAGTTGAAGGATTTATATCAGTAGTTGCGAGACAATCAATATGATATTGAGTGTTATTGAGCTGTGTAATGGATGAGAATAGTGTCCAATTGATTGAATTAATAACTAGAAATACAACACACAATGTTACAAGTACATTACAACGTGCAATAGCAATACTTGGTAAAGTCTGTACACTGATTCTACTACTAGCAGGTCCCAGTAATTGTTGATAAGCTCTGACTGTGATGCTATAAATTATCTCTCCTCTCAGTCCATTCAGTGTGATTGTATTATTACTATTTCCCTCCACCTGTACTGTCTGCACAGTGCCTGTGTCACTAGTAACATTGACTACATATCCATTAGCATGAGATGAATCAAGTGCAGTCCAACTGACAGTGATAGTGGTAGCTGTATTGTTGATGTCAGTAAGAGAAGAGGGAGCAGCGTTTGGAACTGAAAGTATAAAAGAATCTAAATGATATGTTAATTTTGGTTACCTTGTATAAATGTGTTACGTATTCTAGTAGGTTGATCAGTTACTTGCACTTTACACTGATACATTTGATCTCCAGTGGTTGATTGACTGATTGATCCACTACTGACAGTCATTCCATCCCATGTGATATCAATAGTATATCTGATTGTGTTGGTACTACTAACTAACACAGTACCAGAACAAGGATTACTATTACTATTATCAGTACATCCAGTGTAACTAGAAAGTGCAGTATTACTAATGCTCATTCTAATATTATACTGATAGAATCCAATTTTGATACAATTCAGTTTGTATTTCTGAGGATATACTGTCATATCAGAAGGAAGATCAGCAACATTAAATGACTCTATTTGTGCAAATCCTACAAATTAAAATAATGCATAAATAAGTGATTATAATCTTATCTTACTGAATATATTAGCAAAGATGATCTTAGTATTAGGATCTGAACAATCAGTGGGTAGACAACACTTGTACCAACCCTCACCAGGTGGTAGCAGATGGCCATTATCTGGATTTATGTGAACACTGAGATTAGCACCTGATCCAGCAGTACATTGAACATTTTGATTGTTACCACCATCACAAGGAACTGTTCCATTAGGACCAATCCATTGTCCACCATTCAGAGTAGCACCAGGTAATAATACACACTCTAGAGGAGTTGGTCTGATGCTACTATCCCAAAAATATGATCCATTAGGATAACAGACTCCATTATATGCTAAGCAAATACCTATAAAAAATTTTAGCTTTCATTCTAATAATTTATATTCATTGCTGACTTAAAGTAAAGACACTGATTGTATTACTGGCAGGTCCCAGTAATTGTTGATAAGCTCTGACTGTGATGCTATAAGTTGTTCCTCCTCTCAGTCCATTCAGTGTGATTGTATTATTACTACTTCCCTCCACCTGTACTGTCTGCACAGTGTCTGTGTTACTAGTGACATTGACTACATATCCATCAGCATCAGATGAATCAAGTGCAGTCCAACTGACAGTGATAGTGGTAGCTGTCTTGCTGACCTCGGTTAGAGAAGAGGGAGTAGTAGCTGGAACTGTTTATGAGACATATTATTGGTAACAAGAATTATTTATTAGAATTACCTTTTATAGTTACACTACGTGTTCTAATAGGTTGATTGGCAACATGCACTTTACACTGATACATTTGGTCTCCAGTGGTTGATTGACTGATTGATTCACTACTGACAGTCATTCCATCCCATGTGATATCAACAGTATATCTTATTGTGTGGGTACTACTAGCTAACACAGTACCAGAACAAGTATTGCCAAAATCATTACATGATCCAGGGTCATCAGTCAATGCAGTATTACCAATGCTCATTCTAATATTATACTGATGGAATCCAATTTTAGTACAATTCAGTTTGTATTTCTGAGGATATACTGTCATATCAGAAGGAAGATCAGCCACAGTAAATGATTCTATCTGTGCAAAATCTACAAATGAAAGTTGATACATCAAAAAGTGATTACAGAATCCTCTTACTAAATATATTAGCAAACATGATGTTAGTGTTAGGATCAGAACAATCAGTGGGTAAACAACACTTGTACCAACCATCACCAGGTGGTTGAAGAAAGCCATTATCTGGATTTATGTGAACACTGAGCATAGCACCTGACCCAGTAGTACATTGAACATTTTGAATGTTTCCACCATCACAAGGAACTATCCCATCAGGGCCAACCCATTGTCCACCATTAAGAGTAGCACCAGGTAATCCACACTCTAGAGGAGTTGGTCTGATAATATTATCTGGAAAATATGATCCATTAGTATAACAGTTTCCATTATGCCTCAGGTAGATACCTATAAAAACCTATACAGTTGTTATTATACACATCCAGTGTCTTACCTGAGGAAGGTGGACATTGACTAATAACTTCACTGACACTCAGCAAGAATACAACCACTGGCACTGACAGTGCCATCTTGTCTAAAGCTAAACAATAAAAATATTATCGTTTCTCTGTCTACTAAAATGAAAAGAAAACAATCATTGATAACCCATTAACAAAGTAAATATTACATAAGAAAAATAAATATATCATAAGTGTGTTATACAAACAAGATATGGTTACAGTATGGGAAAGTAAATTTAACACATCATGTGACAACAGGTAGGGTATAATGACAATGGCTGGAAAGTGAAGACAAGTATAATGGCTCAGTGGCAAAATATCACATAATCTAAACCTTAACATTATGCATAATTTTCCTACTGATAAAGTACATCAATTTGGTTTAATGGCAATGGTCTTATGATAATTCCAAAATATAATATGGACAGTGTCATCAAATATGCATGACGTAAATGTGATGCATACTCGTTGCAATTGTAACTTATACATTCATGAATAAAATTCCTCAATGCTCAACCAACCAAATATAGGAGTAGAAGAGACAATATGCTATGAAATAAAATCAATAGAACCGAGTCAATTATGTGTACTTTAAGAATTGGGGATTCCTTACAAATGAAGTAAAGCAAGTGCTTTTTGTCTCCCTCATTACCCTTGGTTCTTCACGAAAGACCTTTGGGGTGAATATACATACTGGTATACACATTTCTGATAATTAAAAGTACAAGTATAAACACAATTATACATGTTATTTGTAATATAATTATCTGTTTTTACTGGTGTTTAGATTTACTTACATTCATTATTAGTCATTACAATACAGACCTATTAGTATCAGCCATAGTTCATTTTAACATTTAAAGATATGTCTTCTTTGTTGACATGTAAACTAGACTCTGATACAGAACAATGCTGATCGAACTGTCAATTATAAATGGTAAGGACCGTGTGGCATATACAAATGTTGTAGACATAACATATGATAACAATAATTTCTACAAATATGTTTATAATGTCAGCAATCATGCATATATGGTAGACTATAAACTATTATAGTCTGCTATATCTACTGAAAGTTAGCATATGTGCTGTGCAGTTTGAAGTACAAATCAATCACATCATATATGGAAGTATACTGCACCTGTAAAGAAACAATTATAATTAATACACAATGATATATGTCATATATGTAGTATAGCTATACCAGTGTAGTAACAGCTCCTGGTTTACTCCTTCTTATAGCTTTAGTCACTTGAAACACATCCACTACACCTTCTGCCTTACACTGTTCTAGAGCAATACTCACTGAGCAATAAACTCCTGAACGACTCACTGTATCACTACACACAAACACACACACGAACAATAAATGATCTAATATTAGTCTATCAGTACAATTCTCTCACCTACAGTGTACCACTACTGGTCCTCCTCCAAT